TTCACTATTCATACCATCGGCATCTATTGTAGTACCTACTGCCCACTGTCCTTTATTGTTAGTAACTAAAATAGATACATACAGTTAGTCCCTTGCCATTATCATCCCACTATACTGACCTAGTTCATTTAACATGGCAACATTCGGTTTAGTGATGTATTTGGAAACAGAGGGACACTGTTGACATCCTCCAACAGTTACTATCCAGACACAATGAGGAATACTCATACTGAATGATGAGAGAGAATGACCATATCTCTTACTAACAGAGTGAGGTACATCTAACTGTTAATAGAAATAAATTAATAATGTACATGTATCTCACTGTACATACCGTATAGCTTGAAATTTTCGTGGAATGTAAATTTCGGGATTTTCGTAGTTATGGGCTGCCCACGAAAATTAAACCCACGAAATCATTGAAGTGCCATCCTTACAGGCTATGTAAACTGTCAACCACGAAAATTAAACCACGAATTGCCCCACTAGGAGCAAACCACGAAAATATCGACCCACGAAAATTTCAAGCTATACGGTACCTTTATCCAGGAATTTTGATTGGTGTTAAAGATCCAACAATCATCTAATGTATCTTTAGTCTTATCCCTCCCACCACTTATGACTAGCATAGGATAATTTGATCTAGTCATAACAATAGCACCTGCATGATGGTATCTACCCACAGGCCATTGATCTGTTGCTTCAGGTTTCTTTATACACTGCCAATTCTAAACATGCATGGATAGTAAAGGAATTAGCAAAGACTTTAAGTCTACATTCAGAACACATACATATAGCTTACCACAGTGCTGAGTGATATCTCTAATATATAAATATTGTTAGTAATAGCATCTTTATCACCATCATTAGTCTCTCGTCCACCAAACAGAACAGCTCTAGTGTTGTTGATCTTTTCAATGATGAAGCTCTCAGCAGGTGGTATACACTGACCATTGATTGAAGGATTACTCCATTTTTCTAAATTAAAAATTAAATTGACACTTGATAATTTCAAACAATTATAATAATTAAACTTTACTTGATGATATATTATATATTGAGTGCTCATTAGTACGCCAGTCTCCATTAGGTGCCTTAATATATTTATAATGAGGTAGTTGTACCTCGAGTTGTACAGGTGGTTTAGATCCTTTTCCTCCTATCATTAGTAAATGGTGTACTCCATCATGTTCAAATGATATCATTCCACCAGCAGCTCTCCTCATAACTGGTCTAGTTGCATCAGTTGGCTCTATTTCTGTCCATTGAAGACTAACGGTATCCAGTTGTGTAATACTGTTGTGATGGCAGTCATCATGGCCACACCATCCCCCGAAATAATACAATTGACCATTTATTGCAGTACAGCAGTATTCAATGATTCCTAATGGAGGAGTACCAGTAGTACCTCTAGTGATCCATTCTCCAGTTGAAAGAGTAAAGTGCTGTACATCACAAGTGATCTTTCTTTTCTCGGCACTAGAATGTATTTGAGGAAAGCTGTTATGATGACCAGCCCACACATACAGTGAATGGTCTGTCGATACAGCGCGGTGATGGGCTCTTTTTCTCGGTCTATTATCTATGAATTGACAGTTAAAAACAAATTAAACAATAAATAGGATTGGTAACACTTTTACTTCTGAACGCCATAGGAGCTGTCCTACCAGCCTAGGCCCTAGGCTTAGTGCGAGCCCCACCCGTGCACCAAAACATAAAGACGCAGTAGTTTAGTCCGTATCCGTGGTATTAAATAGAATTCATTTATTCATCATTCATGAGCTATAATTTCCACAACTCTGCATGTGGAGCAGAACATAAAAGTTATTTAAAAAGTTTAAAGTTTTTATTTAAAACCTAACAAAGAAACATAATATTAACTCCAATCTTCATCCTTTTCATTCATTAGCGGTTTGCTTAATATCAGCTATATCTCCTTTTCTTGGTTTCTGGTGCGCAGGCTCGGCCTCCAACGATATTCTTCTTCCTGTCTATAGTTGCTGCTGATATTTCTTCTTGTATTCTTCATTATTCATACCATTGGTATCTAATGTATCACCTACTGTCCACTCTCCTTTACTGTTGAGAACTATAAAAAATGTATCATTACACACAATAATATTCATAGTGTATAACAAGTACTACTACACTCACCTAATTCGGTTAGCATTGTAGTGTTAGGGTATGTGATAAGTGTCCCTGTCTTATCAACACATCCTCCTACAGTTACTATCCAAACACAATGAGGACTCATAATGAACACTGAGAGAGAATGACCATATCTCTTACTAACAGAGTGAGGTACATCTAACTGTTAATAGAAATAAATTAATAATTTACATGTATCTCACTGTACATACCTTTATCCAGGAATGTTGAGTGATGTTAAAGATCCAACAATCATCTAATAAATTATCATCATCACCCTCCCCACCACTTATCACTAGCATAGGACAGTCTGATCCAGTTATAATAATAGCACCTGCATGATAGCATCTACCCATAGGCCATTGGTCTATTGCTTCAGGTTTTTTTACACACTGCCAGAACTAATAAATAAAATAAAATAACCACACCCATTAACAATGACATTAGTGTGTGTGATGTGTGTATACATTAGTCTCGCAAGCCAGATCCTTTCCACCTACAGTCATTGGGATGGACCCAAATGAGTTTGACTGTAGGCTGGGGAATGGTCTGACTAGCGAAACTATGCATACATTCAGTACACATAATTTAACATACCACAGTGCTAATTGATATCTCTAATATATAAATATTGCTGGTAAAAGTATTCTCGGATTCATCATTAGTCTCTCGTCCACCAAACAGAACAGCTCTAGTGTTGTTGATTTTTTCAATGATGAAGTGACTAGCAGGTGGTATACACTGACCAATGATTGAAGGATTACTCCATTTTCCTAAATTAAAATTATTAACATAATTTCAAACAGTAATATAAAACTTTACTTGATGATAGATTATACATTGAGTGCTCATTAGTACGCCATCTTCCACTAGGTAACTCAATATATTTATTATGAGGTAGTTGTACAGCTGGCTTAGATCCTCTTCCTCCTATCATTAGTAAATGGTGTACTCCATCATGTTCAAATGATATCATTCCACCACCGCCTCTCCTCATAACTGGTCTAGTTGCATCAGTTAGTTCTAATTCTCTCCATTGAAGACTAACGGTATCCAGTTGTGTAATACTGTTGTGAAAGCAGTTGTCATGGCCACACTTTCCCCCAAAATAATACAATTGATTATTTATTGCAGTACAACAGTATCCTTTCATTCCTAATGGAGGAGTACCAGCAGTACCTCTAGTGATCCATTGACCAGTTGAAGGAGTAAAGTGCTGTATAATACTAGTGATCCTTCTCTTCTCTTCACTATCATGTATTTCAGGTAAATCAGCCTGATCACCACCCCACACATACAGTGAATCACCCACTGATACAGCGCAGTGAGCAGCTCTTTCATCTAAAATGATTTTAAATGATCACTGGAATAGTAACAATAATACTTACTTGTAGCCTTAGACGCCATAAGTCACTGCGAAGCTCGAGCTAGCCTTTTAGGCAGTTTTCCCCCTCCAACTAAAAGGCGTGGCTATCAGATCAAAAAAATGATGATAATATCTAGGTGTGATAACGGCACAGTCAGCATGAATCAAGTTTGATATCAGTAGATTCAGTACTGGTGCAGTACTGACAGGTATCATTGCGGATCATGCCTGTTGATCCAGTACAAATCTTTACCATATTGTACCGTGACTGATTTCATCATTGCATTGTCACAGTGACTGATTGCCCAAACCCCAGCATGATCCACGTCGTCAGAACTAATTCAGACTAGATTCAGGTTCCAACTCTTGGTTGTATAGTTTAAAATTATATTTTCTACCAATTTAAAAAATAAATACTAGAAAAGGACAGTAAAAAACAATCAAAAGGATAAGCAAATATAATGGAGCAGCGAGAGTTTTAAATAGTAAGTCCTACAGATTTGCTTCTACTTCTAGTAAAACCATGTCATTGTTTGCTATGATGAAATTCAAACATAAACAATAGTCATCATTAGTAGTCCTTACTTTCTCTTTCAATCCCATCAGCTACAGCATTCTCTCCTATCTTCCTCAATGCTTGTATTAATGTATCATAAGTTGGACCGCCTTTACTTTTTACATCATCAGCTTGTTGCAGCCATTTTTCTAAACAAATTCTGAAGTGATTACTAATATCTCCACGTTCATTATCAATAGCATTAAGTGTACGAGGGAGCAGACCCAGGTGAAGACCAAGATCATAATAACTGACACCAGAATATCCATGCTTCTTTAGTATATCAAGTATGCCAACAAGATCACTGGTATCTATGGAAATAATGAAATGAATTATAAAAAATAAATTGTAACTTACTTAATAGTTCTTCATGATTGGTAGGACCATCCACTGGATCTATTACAGTGAAAAACACAAAACACTGAATTATACAGTTAAAAAACATACCATAACTTGCGGTAAGTGATTGTTAGATCACAGCGTTGACTGCATGTAAAAAATATTACAAATTGACTAATAACTATTTAATGATGCTCACCAGTTGTTAATACAATGTTTAATTTTTTAATATCAGATTTAATTCCTCTCAATGTTACAGGATAATTTAAATATTTATCTGCACCTTCACCAGGTTCAGCTGTGATTTTAATTAAGCGTTGTGGAAAGTTAGGAGGAGACATGCTGCCATAGTCATCAATTGCTCTCTGACTAACCTATTGAAAAAATATCCATAATAATACAAATACAATTTGAAAAGAGCTCACTTTTGTTGGAGTGTCATAAGGTGTAACTGACCATCCCTTAGGACATGGCTTATCAAAGCAAAACTCAATAAAATCATTTTCCTCTTCAAATAAAAAATATAGATCGTTTATTGTTTCATTATTTTTGAATTTTTCATTAATATGCTGTCAAAAATAAATTCAAAAATATGTCATATATATACATGTATGCGCAGGAAACTGCAAGTTAATTACATACCTTCTTTAGTGCATTAAGATCTTTAGAGAGCAAAAACTTTATTAACCATTCCCTTCCTGGCCTCCTCACCTCACGTACCACTTGACCATAGTATGATTTATTAGCTAATAAAAATATCAAAGCTAAATAGCTTTAGTATTATGCTTACTAAAAAATGAGATGCTTGTACGTACATATTCTATTAGACTCCACAAACAAAATTCAGAGACATAAATGTTACCATAACAACCATTAGAGACAAAATTTCCTCCATTCACAAGTTTAAACTGGTAAGGTGTTTTATCACTAGGAGCAGTGGCAAAGCTAAAATTACAGTGAGAAGGTATTTTTATGGACACACAGTGCTGTATCTCCAGTTTAACAGGCTCAAGAAAAGGCTTAGAGGTATTTATAGCATATACTGCACTAACAAGCTCAGTGTCTTCTGGGAATATAAAATCTCCTCCTATAAGAGCAGTGATAGTGACCTGTACAGTATCAGAGGGTAGCACTGCTCCTTGTGGTATTGTTATCCTTATGCCATATTCCTCCCAGTTAACTAGCTGGGTAGATTCACTGTGAATAAGAAATGAATTCTTTGCAGCAACATGTACACCTTTAAGTTCATCTATAAGGATATAACTAATGTTCTGTACATTAAAATAATACCTTGAGTTAAATGTTTCTTTAATATTTGGTCTCTTTTAGTTAGTTCCTTGTCTTTATTTTGTAACAGCTGATTTAGCTTTTGGATCTCACTTTCTTTATCTTCTAGCTCCTTCTTCATCTTTTGTAACTCATAATTATAATTTTGTATCTTTTTTGAAATCATCTCGTCCTTTTGCTGCAGATGTTCCAAAAATTTCTTTGTCTCTAGCATTTTGTCTTCTAGTTTTTTTTCCATTTCTTCTTTCTTTCTTTCCGAATGAGGAGCCTCCTGTAGCTCCCTATCCTTCTCCTGTAGCTCCCTATCCTTCTCCTGTAGCTCCCTATCCTTCTCTTGTAGCTCCATATCCTTCTCTTGTAGCTGATGACAATATCTTCTTATTTCTTGATCTTTCTCTACTTCTTCTTTTTCCTTCTGCTCCATCTGTTGATGAAAAACTTGTGCTTCTCTCTCCTTCTCTTCAAGACTCTTCATAAGAGCTTGTACAGTTTGCTCAATATCGGCTGTATCTCCTTTTCTTGGTTTCTGGTACTCCTTCAACCATATTGTTCCTCCTATTTGTAGTTGCTGCTGATACCTCTTCTTGTATTCTTCATTATTCATGCCATTGGTATCTAATGTATCACCTACTGCCCACTCTCCTTTACTGTTAGTAACTAAAACAGATGCATACAATTAATCCCATACCAATACCGTATAGCCACTTAATTTCGAAGGTAAAATTTTCACTGGTTTTGCAGATTTTCCGTATCCACAACAGTTAATTTGCTAAAATTATCCATCTGAACCTATAATCATGTGTACTTTAATAAAATGGCTCTCTTGGGTGTGGCTTCAATCATGGAATTTAAACCATGAAAGTTAAATCATGAAAAAAGACTTGTGGCCTGATTCGCGAAAGTTTATTGCCTCAAAATTTTGTGGCTATACAGTATATCATCCAACTATACTGACCTAGTTCAATTAACATGGCAACATTAGGTTTAGTGATGTAGTTGGAATCAGAGGGACACTTTCCTCCAACAGTTATTATCCAGACATAACGAGGACTACTCATACTGAATGATGAGAGAGAATGACCCCATCTCTCACTAACAGAGTGAGGTACATCTAACTGTTAATAGAAATAAATTAATAATTTACATGTATCTCACTGTACATACCTTTATCCAGGAATGTTGAGTGACGTTAAAGATCCAACAATCATCTAATGTGTCATTATTCTCATCCCTCCCACCACTTATCACTAGCATAGGACAGTCTAATCTAGTTATAATAATAGCACCTGCATGAGCGTATCTACCCACAGGCCATTGGTCTATTGCTTCAGGTTTCTTTATACTGAACACTGCCAGGACTAATAATAGAATTAATAATGACATATAGTATGCATACACATAATTTAACATACCACAGTGCTGATTGATATCTCTAATATATAAATATTGTTAGTAACAGTATCATCATCATCAGTCTCTACTCCACCAAACAGAACAGCTCTAGTATTGTTGATCTTTTCAATGATGAAATCATAAGCAGGTGGTATACACTGACCAATGATTGAAGGATTACTCCATTTTCCTAAATTAAACTTATAAATATAATTTCAAACAACAATAAAACTTTACTTGATGATATATTATATATTGAGTGCTCATTAGTACACCATAATCCTTTCAGCCTTTGTGACTCGGCATATTTATAATGAGGTAGTTGTACAGCTGGTTTAGATCCTCCTCCTCCTATCATTAGTAAATGGTCTACTTCATCATGTTCAAATGATATCATTCCACTACTGCTTCTCCTCATAACTGGTCTAGTTGCATCAGTTGGTTCTAATTCTCTCCATTGAAGACTAATGGTATTCAGTTGTGTAATACTGTTATGATAGCAGTCGTCATGGCCACACTCTCCCCCAAAATAATGCAATACACCATTTATTGCAGTACAGCAGTATCCAATGATTCCTAATGGAGGAGTACCAGTAGTACCTCTAGTGATCCATTGACCAGTTGAAAGAGTAAAGTGCTGTATATAACTAGTGATCCTTCTCTTTTCTGCACTATCATGAACTGCAGGCAACTTATTATGATGGCCAGCCCACACATACAGTGAATGGTCTATCGATACAGCGCGGTGATAGGCTCTTTTCCTCGGTTTATCTATGATTGACAGTAAAAACAATAATGGATTGGTAACACCTTACTTTTGAATGACATAGCTGAGCGACAGTACCAGGCTGTTTAGCAAAATTAATACCAATTAGCCAGCTACAAAGCAAATAATTTTAATCTGATTTGATTTCAACCCGACGCATCCCTGTATGGTATCAAGGATTTTGGGTAGCCTGGCTGGTGGCTGCACAGGAAGCTGAGAGCAACAGGCATGGCCCAACAATGATGCAGTCAGGGCTGTATCAAAATACAAATCAGACTTAATTCATTGATTTGACTGTGTAGTCAGCCATAGCCAATAGTAACGTATAGGGCGGGGCATTTCCGGCAGTAAAATAAACTGTTTTCTGTGTTTTGAAGAAAAAAGCAAAATGAAAATTACCTATGTGGTTAAAATACCCAGCCATAGATCATATCATTATCATATAGTATTGATTTGATATCGATATTGTAAAGCTTTAAAGGTGTGGTTGATTAATAATAAATTTTCCAAAACTGAAATCGTGTTTATTGTACAAGTCTGTATGTGACATATCTGCCAGCTGTTTCACTTGGTCTTATGATCTTTACTACCTAATTAATAAATGGAGGAAGGAGAGAGATAAATAAATATTGTCAATTATAATTATTGTCACTAAAAGTATTCTCAGATTCATCATCAGTCTCTCGTCCAACAAACAGAACAGCTCTAGTGCTGTTGATTTTTTCAATGATAAATGCATAAGCAGGTGGTATACACTGACCAATGATTAAAGGATTACTCCATTTTCCTAAATTAAAATTATTAACATAATTTCAAACAGTAATATAAAATCTTACTTGATGATAAATTATACATTGAGTGTTCATTAGTACGCCATCTTCCACTAGGTAACTCAATATATTTATAATGAGGTATTTGTAAAGCTGGTTTAGATCCTCTTCCTCCTATCATTAGTAAATGGTGTACTCCATCATGTTCAAATGATATCATTCCACCACCGCCTCTCCTCATAACTGGTCTAGTTGCATCAGTTGGTTCTATTTCTGTCCATTGAAGACTAATGGTATCCAGTTGTGTAATACTGTTGTGATAGCAGTCATCATGACCACAATAACCCCCAAAATAATACAATAGATCATTTATTGCAGTACAACAATATCCAATGACTCCTAATGGAGGAGTACCAGTAGTACCTCTAGTGATCCATTGACCAGTTGAAGGAGTAAAGTGCTGTATATTACTAGTGATCCTTCTCTTCTCTTCACTATCATGTATTTCAGGTAAATCAGCCTGATCACCACCCCACACATACAGTGAATCACCAACTGATACAGCGCAGTGAGCAGCTCTTTCATCTATATGATAATAGATGATCACTGGAATAGTAACAATAAGTACCTACCTGTAGTCTTGGGCAATTGTGATGCCATGAATGGACCCACTGCCAAGCTCTAGAGCCTTAAATCTAGAGAATGAGAGATCGAGATATGCCGGGAGCCCCACCTCCTATAGATTCAGATCGATCAATGAGATCATGCCTAATTAAAAACTCCGTTAACCATGTAGATATATGCAGAAGACATTGTATTTATCTACACAAAGCATTCGAAACATGAACATCACATCTTGTCTGTATTAATATTTAAAATTAGAAGAAACAGAAAAGAAAAAAGAAATCAAAAGAGAATTAAAAACCGAAGATAGAAATATAATAAGCAGAACAGCAAATAACTAAAAGTATACAAGTTTTAAAACTATTTAAGGCTAAGCAGCCACTACTAATCAAATCTTAATCCTTTTCAAAAACTCCAATACTTGAGCCATAGTAGGACGGTTTTTAGGATCAACTTTAAGTCCTCTTTGTATGAGAGACTTCATATCAGACCAGGAGACACTACCAGATTGTCGTGCTCTTCTTGCTGTCTCCATTTCTGGTGGACGACATAAGTTCATTTCCATAAGGAGAACAGAGTAACTGTAGACATCCATTGCTGGACTGTGTTGATCAGGATCACGAGCTTCTGGTGCAGCATATGCTGGATTGCCTGGCATATAGGGACCAGTGCCAGTCCTAGCAGTGGTAGCTTCCACTACTTTAACTGTACCATAATCTGCTACTTTAGCTTCATAACCAGCAGGCCCAGTGCAAGGCTTTAATAATACGTTAGGACTGCTCACATCTCTGTGAATAATAGGTGGTTGAAACAGGTGAAGGTAGTTGAGGCCTAAAGCTACATCTTGAGCAATACTCAGAATCTGTTGATTGGTTAATTGGTTTCTCTGCAGCTCCTGATTAAGACTAGTGCTCATCAGCTCGGTCAAGATGAGAGGATTACCCACTCTAGTTGCACCAATAAACTGGACCAAGTTAGGATGACGTATTTGTGATGCTACAGTCATTTCCCTAGAGAAGAGAGCTAAATTATAATTTGAGATGATGATAGTATGAAGTGACTTGACAGCTACTCTTAAACCTCTAAAGATTCCAACTGTAACGACAGCATAAGCTCCTCTTCCTAACTCCTCATCTGTTAAAGTCACCTCATCTTTATTAATAACCCAGTGATCATCAGTAAGCTCTGCTTGTTGCTGGTACCTACGAACTGCATCTTGAGACTGACGCAGCTCTTCATCCTTCTCCTGTAGCTCCCTATCCTTCTCCTGCAGTACCACCTGATGCTCCCTATCCTTCTCCTGTAGTTCCCTATCCTTCTCCTGTAGCTCCCTATCCTTTTCCTGCAGTGCCACCTGATGCTCCCTATCTTTCTCTTGTAGTTCCCTATCCTTCTCCTGCAGCTCCCTATCCTTCTCCTGTAGCACCCCTAGCTGAAGCTCCCTACCCTCCTGTAGTGCCTCCAGCTCCATATTCATTTCTTTTAGCTTTTTATGCTTCTTCCTTACCTCCCTATCCTTGACCTGTAGCTCGTTATCTTTCTCAAGTATCATGATATCCTTTTGTTGTAGTGCCTCCTGTAGCTCCAGCAGTATCACCTGATGCTCCTTATCTTTCTCAAGTATCATGATATCCTTTTGTTGTAGTGCCTCCTGTAGCTCCAGCAGTACCACCTGATGCTCCCTA